ATAGCGGTACCCTCCTTGAATAATATTATTTTCCACCCTGTAGAACATCTCTAAAGCCTCGATCAACTATCATCACATCGCCATAATCGCACCATTCTGCCAGTCTATTTTTCGTTTTGACTATATGACTGGTAATTGTAGCATCTTTTTCAGTTCTACAAAACCGTCCTAGCGTGTCTAAACCATAGCCATCTGGCAGACATAAGCACATGAATTTCACTAGATGACGTTTCTTTTGTCCCGAATATGTGGATCGCTGAAATTCGTGTGACATACTTTTTTCTGTGTAAAAGTAGGTGCCGTCCCATATAATTGTCATTTTTTGCCCAAAAAACTCGTTGGAAAAAAAAGTATTGTGATTGATTGCTTCTGAGCGTGACAAATGACTGATGCCTAAATATTTTGGTACCAATTTATCGACCAAGACTTGACGAACTGAATCAAAACTTTTTGCTACCAGTTTACGGCGATTTTTGGCATTACAAGAAATATTGAATAGAGAGCCGATTTGCTTAAAAGACAAATTAGTCTTGGCTTTTATCCAAAACTTTGCCAGAACATTTTTAGCTTCACGATTACAAGATGTACGAATCTGTGGCGAGACTAAAGTAAACATATCTTCGAATTCTTTTTGATTCCATCCAGTTCACGCCAAATAATCTTCATTCGTTATACAAGGATTCATGAAATCTAATCGTGCTGCTGAAGATGCTTCTTGTAATAAACCTAAAAGATTATTAAATAATTGCAAAATAATAGATAGTTTCAATTTGGCTATTCGTGTTTGTCGATTTTCCATGTTTACTTTTGTTTCTGGTAATAATCGATCGTTCCATAAATGGTCTGTACAAATTCGAACTCCATGAGGGGCATACATTCGTTTCAGCACTAAAAGATCCAACCTTGCTGCTTTTGGCATAACAACTGAACCAGCATGTACTTTAGATCGGCAAATAATACAGATTTTAATACCTGAACCTGCAAAAATAATATTTTCAATCGTTAATGAATCTTTATCTTCATTGACATCAACATTCATGTCTTCAACATTGTTCGTATTATTTTTTTTCTATTTTAATTTCAGCATATGTCTTCTGATTGCATAAATTCAACCAGCATTTATTACATAGATCACAATTTTCGTCAACATTGAATGAAAGCCCTTCTGAATCTAGTAACGAATAGCACCATGCCTGAGTTTTACTGGTTATCGTTCTAGTAGCTTTCCACTTTTTACAACGAATACATTGTCTACTTGACATTTTCAGTAATTAGCTTTATTATTTCAAAATCACTTTCAATGACAAAACTTAAATGACTAAAAGAAGAAAAAAAACAAAATCTACACCAAATTAAAAGAAAGATACACAATTTCAACAATCAGAAACTAAAAAAAATAAAAACAAAGAACAGTTCTTAGAGTTAAGGAACAACAACAAAAAAATAACAACAAAAACAAAATAAAACAATAAAATGTAGGCAAACCTATTATGTGCAAAAAATAGTCCTAAAGAGAACTGTTGGGTTTCACTTCGTTTATAAAACAGGGTGTGGGTGTGGGTGGGTGTGGGTGTGGGTATGGATTACGTGTTGCTTTCTTATCATCCGCATCCACACCCACACCCTCTATGTGCTACCGATTATCCGAATTTAGATGGTCTCGGTCTTTAGAATATTAACGAAGAGTCAACTTTATGTCTTTTTACTGGTAACATATTTCAATTGAATTATTTTTATTTTAAACAGATGAAAGATTTATGAAACTTATTCATATAGATGACTAGATCATTTGAATATACTGATATTATTGTGATAGGTTTTTTTTTCTTACTAATATTTTATGCAGATATTTAAATAAAATTCTTTCATCTGGTATTTTCAAAAATCAAATTACAACCCTTTTAATTACAATTAATAAAGCTGATGATTATGATGAGATGCTATTACCAGTAGCAAACATATTCAATTATATCTTCAGTGTTTTCACCCGTCTGATTGCTTTAGCATTATATGAATCATCATATGGAAGTTGTGTTCGATTAAATTTTAATGATGCATTACTTCTTAATTTCCGTTCTTGAACTCTTTTGAAATTGAATATCAGAGTACAATGTTTTAATGATTGTCTTCGTCTTTTCAATGGTTATTTTAATCAACTTCAAACGCTCTATGTTGATTTGGACCATATTGATAGTTCACACGCAATTCAAAATCAAGTTGGTTTTACAAGAAAAACCTCTATGTTGTCAAATAACAAAAGAAATGTTGTTTTTTAGGGCGAGTTATCAAATCGAAACTGTTTTTCTCTGTCCTGTAATTTAAAAACATCTAATTATATTAAAACAATCATACCACTTCTATCGAATGTCAAATCTAGAACAATTCTGTTTGTATATTCTAGTCTGGGTTGATAAAACATTTATTGATGGAAACCATTTGAAGAGAAACATTTTTAATCGTATGTTACGATTAAATCAATTTACATTTTATATTTGCTCATTTATGTTTATTCGTAATGAACTGGATTTGTCATCAACAGAAGATATTCAACGCACCTTTATTGACCTTTCCAAATAATGAAATAATTCCTTATGTTGACTATTTTCAATAGAGAAGAAGATCGGTGTCATGTTTATTCATATCCATCTCTAATGGAATATTATGGCGATATTACAAATAATTTTTCAAGTGGATTATTCAATTATGTCCGTGAGGTGTCATTATTTGATGAACATCCTTTTGAACATGAATTTTTTCTTCGAATTGCTCAATCATGTTCATTTGTGGGAGAATTATCTGCGATTAATCATAAATCATAAAGTTGCAAACAATCTTATGAATCAAACAATGATAAGCGAAATTTATCTATCATTGAGTATTCTTTTCTTACAATGGAACCTTCTGTATTGTTAATCGAGTTGATCGACCATATTCGGGACACATGAAAGCTCTCACTGTCAAACTAATAAATTTAAAATATTACGTCCCCATAGCGTACCTAGAGCA